GGTAAGGGGAAAAAATGAGAATCAAGACTTGCCATGTAAAGGTACATGATCCCAACAATGAATGTAACTGTACTGTATCCCTAAAATGTACCAATAAACTCAATAAAATTAAAAAAAAAAAAGTACTGAACTGAATGATATAATGAGTGACAGAAACATGAGACTTATCACATTAGTCTACTTTTGTTCACTTGAAAATGTCCCTTAACTATTATCACATGTTGAATGTCTTGAAATCATTTCTCCTGACATTTTCTATCCTTTGATCTACCCCCTCCCTTTGTCAGTTTCCTTCTTGTTCGGAAAAAAAGTGAAAGCTCTCCCCTTAGCTTTCAAGCAACCAAAACCCAATCTAGTATCTTAAACACGCAAATAGCCTGTGTTCAACCATCTCCCACAACTGAAATGACCACACCTGTCTCTACACCTTTGCTCTTGCCCTTTCCTCTGTAGACTGCATTCATCAAAGTTCAAGAATCTTCCAGAATTTTATATTGTCTACTCTGACCATTTCCATCTCTTACCTAATACTAAAAGCAACAACCTTAAAATACAGTAATATGCTGAATTTCATCAAAACACATCCTGTGGGGCTGTGAGAGTGTAGTTAAATGGTACAGTACGTCCATTAAGCCTTGGGTTTTATTTTCAGCATCATAACACATTCTGAATGTACCTTAATATTTAACAGTCCACCTAACATTTTCCTATAAAATTTGTGTAAACCAAACCTATTTTAAATGATCAAAGTTAATTTTCCAAAGTGCAAATAGTCCAGTTTCATCTCCCTGGCTGTAATACAACTCCAGTTCCTTATATAACAACAGGGGCATAGTCCTTAGAACTCAGGCAAAAAAAGAGTCAGGCAAGTAATGCTGCCTTTTCAGTGAGCTTCAGCTCCCCAAACCTAGCAAGATTCAGGGCTTTCACATGAGAAACCTTCAAACTAAACACTGCCGCTCCACTGGAGGAAGTAAAGTGGGAACGCAGACCTGTACTTGCTAGACATGTGCTGAGGCAGGCAGTGTACTTGGTGCTTAAGACACTCTCTCCGCACAGATCTAGAAAACAGACATTTCCCATTTTAAAGCTAAGAAAACCGAGGCTTAGACAGGCAAAGTAAAGTGGACAACAAATAACTCAGCAAGGATTCCTGATCCCAAACCGTGTTCCTTTCCATTAAAACAGGCTGCCTGTCCACAATGAAATATGAAGACATACTAAAACCATATTCTGTACAATTAACCTAAAGTTAGCACGCCCTGCCAAACAGTAAGTTCAACTGAATCAGAAAGAGGTAGGCGCGACGTCCCAGGAAAGGGGACGAATTCAGAATTCCTTGTGCATTCTTCCTATAGTTAAGAACTTAAACCTAAATTGTGAGTCACAACATTTTTGCTTTTCAACGCCCCCCGCCCAAAAGACCCAGATGCTCCCTCCAGAAGAGGAAAATACTCAGGCATTGAAATCAAGAAATGTAGGCCGGGGATGCAGCTCAGTGGCACCGTGCCTGCCTCGCAAGCCCAAGGTCCTGAGTTCGATCGCCGGTACCAAAAAGAGGAAATGACTTTCCGTGCTCGCTTCGGTAACAAGTAAAAAAAAAAAAAAAAAAAATTACTTCCCCG